GGATTATTGACTCTGGAGCCTCCAATCACATGACTAGAACTCCAGGTGTGTTTTCTTCCCTCTCTCATTGCTCAACATCACAATCTGTTACCCTTGCTAATGGTTCCACATCCTCGATTTGCGGTGTTGGCAATGTTAACTTGACCCCCTTATCTTTATCCTCAGTTTTGTATGTCCCTAAATTTTCGTTTAACCTTATGTCTATTAGTAAGCTAACCAAGTCACTCAATTGCTCTATTACTTTTTACCCTTCTATGTGTGTTTTTCAGGATCTCAAGATGAGGATGAAGATTGGTGGAGGGCATGAAGCTGGTGGATTGTATTATCTTGACGGTGGTGGAAGAACATCAACAGCTCTCCAGTCATCTCTCTCTCCTCTCCAGTGACACTGTCAATTTGGTCATCCTTCGTTGAAAGTTTTGAAATCTTTGGTTCCTTCATTGAGTCAACTTTCTGTTTTAGATTGTGAGTCGTGTCAGCTGAGGAAACATCATCGTGTTCCCTTTAGTCCTAGGGTTGATAACCGTGTGTCGAGTCCTTTTTCTTTGGTTTATTCAGATGTTTAGGGTCCTTATAAAGTGATGTCATACAATGGATATAGATATTTTGTCATTTTTGTTGATGATTTTTCAAGGATGACGTGGCTCTATTTAATGAAAGAAATGAGTGAATTGTTTACCGTCTTCAAAAAATTTTATGCTGAGATTCGCAACCAATTTGGTGTTCATATTAAAATTTTTCATTCTAATAATGGCCGTGAATATTTATCTTCATCATTTCAAGAATACTTGGGCCAACATGGCATTATACATCAGACCTCATGTACCTACACCCCACAACAAAATGGGGTGGCCGAGAGAAAGAATCGTCATTTTTTGGAAACAGCTCGATCCCTCATGCATCACATGAATGTTCCCAAACCCTTTTGGAGTGATGCGATGCTTACTTCTTGCTTCTTGATTAATCGGATGCCCACGTCTATCCTTGATGGTCATTCCCCATTCACTACCTTGTTTCCCACCTTGTCTCCGTTTCCTCTTTCTCCTCGGGTTTTTTGGTGCGTCTGCTTCATCCATAATCTGGGCCCCGAGAAGGACAAGTTAGATGCACGATCCATTAAGTGCATCTTCCTTGGCTATTCCCGGACCCAGAAAGGGTATAAGTGTTATCATCCTAGTTCTCGACGTTCCTTTGTGTGTGTTGATGTTACCTTCTTTGAGTCTACTCCGTTTTTCTTGGGGTCCGGTGATGCTTCTTCCTCCTCATCACCTCCTCCTCTTCCACTTCCAGTTGCCGATTCTGTTCCCCTTGTTCCAGCCATGACCAAGTCCTTGCCTCCAGGGCCACCACCTGTTGAACGGCCACCTATCCGTCAAGTGTACACACATCGCCCACATGTACTGGTTGCTACTCCTCCGGCTCCATCACCGTCGACAGATCCGGTAGTTGTCTCTGCACCAGCCCCAAACCCAGTATCTAATCTTGATCTTCACATTGCCTTGCGGAAAGGTAAACACACTTGTACCCTTCATCCTATTTCTAATTATGTTTCACTCACTCACCTTTCTGCTTCCCATCGCCAGTTTATCTCTTTGTTATCCTCAGTTGTTGTCCCTAAGGATGTCCAGGAAGCCCTTTCCTCTCCAGGGTGGTGTCGTGCAATGGAAGAACTCTCAGCTCTAATTCAAAATCATACTTGGGACCTCACCACTCTTCCTCCTGGAAAGCAGGTTGTCGGTTGTAAGTGGGTTTATACTGTTAAGTATTTACCTGATGGTAGTGTTGAGCGCCTGAAAGCTCGATTGGTTGCAAAAGGGTACTCCCAAACCTTATGGTATTGACTACACAGAGACCTCCCCAGTTGGTAAGATAGGTTTGATTCGTGTTGTGATCTCTCTTGCTACTATGTATGATTGGCCCCTCTATCAGCTTGATATCAAGAATGCTTTTTTGCATTGTGATTTGCTCGATGAGGTCTATATGGAGCAACCACCGGGGTTTGTTGCTCAGGGGAGGATGGTAAGATATGCAGACTAAAGAAGGATATATATGGGCTTAAACAGTCTCCTCAAGCATGGTTTGGTAGGTTCAGTGAGGTGGTAAAGAAGTTTGGTATGAAATAGTGCCAAGTTGATCATTTCGTCTTCAGTCATGACTCTCAGGCAAGAAAAATCCTATTGGTGGTGTATGTAGATGATATTGTTATTACCGGGGATGATAAAATGGGCATTGACAGGTTGAAGACTTTTCTACAGGAACATTTTCAAACAAAGGACCTTGGTAAATTGGAATATTTCTTGGGGATAGAAGTAGCAAGATCTAAGCATGGTATTAATTTGTGTCAGAGGAAATATGTGCTTGATTTGCTGGAGGAAACAAGTTTGTTAGGTGTTAAACCAACTAAAACACCTATGGAAACAAATACTAAGCTGAGCAGTGATATGGATGTAAAGTGTTTGAAGACCCTGGCAGATACCGGCGACTTGTAGGTAAACTGAACTACCTAACCATCACTCGGCTAGACATTTCATTTGCAGTTAGTGTGGTAAGTCAGTTCATGCAGAAACCTCTGGTTCCTCATTGGGATGCAGTTCTAAGAATTGTGAGGTATTTAAAAGGGGCCCCTGGTCGTGGTTTGATATACAAAAGTGGTGGAAAACTTGAAATAGAAGGATATACTGATGCTGACTGGGTCGGTTCTATGTCTGATAGGAGGTCTACCACAGGCTATTGCACTTTTCTTGGGGGTAATCTAGTGACATGGAAAAGTAAGAAGCAGACAGTCGTGGCGAGAAGCAATGCAGAAGCAGAATATAGAGCTATGGCGCATACTGCTTGTGAATTAGTGTGGCTAAGGAACCTTCTACAGGAGATAGGATAAAATATTAACACTCCAATGAAGCTCTATTGTGACAATCAGGTTGTAKTTCATATTTCTTCTAATCCGGTGTTTCATGAAAGAACCAAGCACATAGAGGTTGAYTRTCACTTTGTRAGAGAGAARGTGCTGAATGGAGTGATAGACACTGCATATGTTAACATAGGGAACCAGTGGGCAGACTTATTTACAAAAGGGTTGAGTCGGGGAAGAGTGGACTACATATGTA